TTATGCGATGTTATCGGTGAATAAAAAAAATAAGGTTATCGTTATACAAAATTTCGTGTTTTTTTTTTCGATATCGATTGTTTTAGCCATAAATAAAATGTGGTCAAATAAAGATAGAGAATGGTGTTTCATTTTATGCTTTCGACGCATAAATAGACTATAGACAGTTAGTTGCAAATAATCATCTGACTTCATCTAATTGGTTGGTAAGGTACTTATCAATCTGTACATGAGTAACTACTCAACTAGCTCCATATTCTAGAAATATATTACGTACATGTACCCCACAAATTGATCTTACACGCAATACGTATGCTTTCGTAATCGCGTATCGAAGAAATAAACATGTAAATGATTCATGAGTTAGCATTGTTCTGCTGATTATCTGATGATGCATAAAAATACATACAAAAAATTATATTATTGGTGAGTGACTTATTACCTACGATTAATTATTCAGTAGTTATAAAATAGATATTATAAAAAAATATTGTAATAATAAACAGACAAATTCTAATAGAGCATCATGTATATTGGGTTGTTATTATGCTACAGTTATTATCGTTATGGTTATTTCATATAACTTGTTAATGCAATAATGAGTTAACCATAGAGAAAAAGAATACATTGAAAAATAAATTAAAAAAATGACGTTTTTAATATTACATTTTTTATTTTGTAAGATATATCGCGCAACATTTCAAAATTTTTCATAAAATCTCTAGTACATGTAGCTCGGAATATTCGGTTTGAGATACTGTATTCTTTATGTTGTCGACTATTTGTGATCTTGTACTGTGTGTATTTCAAACGAATAAAGAACGTGTAAGTATAATGGATATCAAGTAGCACAAGTTCGATAAAATCGGAAATAAAGTCGCGACGAATAGGTTGCGACTTCAGCCTATTCTCTATAGTTATTACTGCAGCATTTGTAAATAATAATACCAATGTATGTATGCTCAATGGTTAATTTCCGTGATCTTCAGCATTCTCAATGAAAGCATATCACAAAATAATGACTGTAAAACGTCGAGTTGTTCCCCTTTGCAAATAAAATGGGTGAAAAAAATATAAGGCACTCCTTCGAATTCCGTGCACTTTTTTTGTCATATGTATAAAAAAAATTATACAATGTATTTTTTATAAGATTTTAAATATTAAATTTATACTTAATATTATATTCACATTCATATTCATATTATATTCAATTATATAAATTTTTTATTTATATATAGCAATAAATATTAAATTTATACTTAATATTATATTCACATTCATATTCATATTATATTCAATTATATAAATTTTTTATTTATATATAGCAATAAATATTAAATTTATACTTAATATTATAAATTTTTATTTATATATCAATAAAATATTTTTATATAACGTGCATTTTTTTAGCATATATAAAAATTTTTATTTACATAATATTTTTTGCTGAAATTTTAAATAGTAAATTTATAACAAATAATATATTTGATTATGTAAATTATTTATTTATTATATATTGAAAAAATGTACAATAAAAAATTAAAATCTATCACTAACTCTAACTTCAACTCTAACGTGTCCTATTTTTGTGCATCTATAATCTTTTTCATTATATACTCAATTAAATTTATATTTTTGGATTTGGTTCTTGTTTTTTATTTAATTAATTGAGTTATTAATAATACCAATTTTGTTTTAATTCTCTTGTACTATTTTAAGCTTAAACTAGATTTTATTAATAAATTTGAGATACTTGCAAGAAAATAAGCTCTCAAATTTTATTTATATTATAAAATATTATTCTAAAAATATTTAATTAATAGTTATACTAGATTTTTATAATAAAATTCTGAGATACTCAGTATATGAAAATAGAGATATATACAAAAATAAATTTCAAATTTTATTCATATTATTAAAAAAATACAAATATATCTAAAATTTTATTCTGTACACATTTACTTAAGTAAATTTTTTTAATAAAATTTTGAGATATTGAATGCATGAAAATAGGAAAATGCAGAAGAATAGGTGAGTATATCTTATTATCTTTCAAGTTATACTGGATTAATTTTGTATTTTTTTGTTAGATTTGCTTATTTGTTATTTAATTAATAATATCAATATCTCCAAGCTTATATAAATTTAATTAATATTTATTTATTTAATAAAATATTAAAAATCCACAACTTATATATAACTAAAATAAAAGATTTATACAAAATATTTTTAATTAATAATTTAAATAGTAAATGTTGAAATAATAATAATTTTCAATTTTGTATATTTGTATTTAGTATGATAACAAAATTATTTTTTAATTAACTATTAGTAAAAAAATGTAGATATATTAAAAATATTGTACTAAATATTTTAATCATAGCTTTAAAAGTATTTAATATAATAATAGTAATATTAATAAAATTTAATATAGCAGATATTTAATATAATAGAAATTAGTAAGTTTATTTTAACTATAATAAATCCTTCTTAATATAATAGATTTTTTAATAAAAACTCGATATAATAGATTTTTGCTTTGTATAATTATTTACAAGTAAACTTTTCTAGAGAAAATCAATATAAATAAATGAATAATTAGTTATTATTTATTTAAAATTAATCTGTTCTTTAGATTTTTTCTCTTTTTCTTTTTAATATATTTTTTCTTTATTATATTAAAGTAAACTTGTATTTGCAATCTTTAGTAAATCAAAACTATTTTTTAGAACTATCTATAATACTATAACTATAGTGTAATAGTTGTATTACTTTTTAAATTATATTTAACTAGTATTCTATTATATAAAATTAATCAAATATAACCAATAAAAATATATAAAAATTCTGCACAACTAATAGAATATAATAAATTTTTAATTAATCAGGCAAAACAAATCTGATATAAGAAAATAAGAAAAGACAAAAAATGTAAAAAATACAAAAAACAAATATCTAAATCTAGCTTAAAATACTATCAAAAATGTTAGAAAAACAATTTTATATATAATTCTAATCTCAATTCTAAAGATAAGCTCACAATTGATTATAACTTGATTATAATTCTCTGATTGGTTATTGCAATCAATCACAATTAAATTGCAATTCTCTGATTAACTGTTACAAGTTACCCATCTTTACTTAATTCTAATCCTAATTCTAATATTTGATATTAATATCAATCAGATATTTTAATAGATCTATTTCAGATTATATAATAGTAACTTTTATTGTCATAAGTAGAAATGAACAAATATATGTACATTCAATACTTTGAACTGTAAAGGGATTTTATTTTAAATTAAAACAAATATATTATCAAATAATCTTTAATATAATCTATGATATTATATATTTTTATTTCATTTATTATAAAAATTATTTGTAATTAGATTTTTAACATCAATTTTAATAATAATAGTGAGATTTTTAGCACCTAAAATATCATGTGTATTATTTTGATTGACCGGATTTCATCATGTAAAAATACATGATAGTTTTTCATGTAAAATTCTAATTAGCATTGCATATAATAACTTGTTTGGAAAGGATAATTCTTTAAAAAATTCAGCAATGACGCAGTATTTGATGCGACTAAGCTGCGCGCACCATATATACTGTACACACTACATGTATAGCAATACAGTATACATTTACTACGTCCAATAACAAGAAGTTACTGGACTGAACTTACAAAATTACTAAGTCCAGTGACGAAATATTGGACTATGTTCAGTATGGTCCTACATATCATACTACATGTACATACACTACGTCGCATTACCTCACTTACATATGTGCGTACGCATACATGCGTATTGTACGCATAGTTATCAACCGATATTCTATAGCAATAGATCATCAAGAGTATAAATAATAGATAACTTGCATAGATACATGATCATTTACACCACCTCTAACTTTCCACATATCGTGTATAACATCCCGAACACAAAGAACAATACAAACACCGATCATCTACACCTTTTATGGGTTGGTAGAATTTCTACAGCGGATATTGCATGTTCACAAACTTTCACGCTCCAAATATAATGAATCGGTCACTTTAGGACGTAACGGTAATATATCGACGTTCAGTAATCCAATTCGAATAAATATACTATATATATATATATATCATTAGACTAGGTGGATCACTTGATGTTGAGATATTACGTCCTAAAGTGGCTGATTCATCAATTTCTAATGTAAAATTCAGTGACTTTAGGACGTAATATCTCAATGTCTAGTGATCCAATTCGAATAAATATACTACCATTCGATTTATCTCGACTAGATGAATTGAATGGTATATAGTATATTTATTCGAAACAATCACTGGATATACCATTACAACTGATCAATTTTTGATGATGTTAAAAAAATGAATCGGCTACTTTAGGACGCAATATTTGGATGTCCAATAGCGGAAATACTACCATTCGATTCAGCTAGTCGAGGCGAATCAAATGGTAGTACGTTCGCTTAAATTGGGTCACTGAATGTTAAGAATAAGATTATTGTATATTTGAGATATGTGTTCTGAAATGACTGATTGTATTTGGGGCGTGAAAGTTTATGAACATGCAATATGCGATGTAGAAATTTAAAGGTGTAGATGATCAGTGTTTGTATTGTTCTTTGTGTTCGGGATGTTATACACGATATGTGGAAAGTTAGAAGGGTTGGATACTTTTGCAGGTTATTGTATATCGTAACGTCAATATTATTATTCATATCGATATCTTCGTATAAATTGCAAAATGTCTCCTCGAAGTGATATATGGGAGCATTTTAAACAAATTGAGCATGCTGCTGGATTTGAACAACAACGAGCAGAATGTAATTACTATGAAGATCCCATGTAGAAGAAATATAGAAACAGCACATAATAATAGGAGCAAGAACTTGATATATCAGATAATAATGATGAAGTATTAGAGACTCCAAGTGATAGTAATAGCGATAATTATTAAATATATACGTATACGTATATCGAGATGTATACATGTATATGTTATGTACATTAATTTACTATTTTAGATAACTATCAAAATTTTACTGAACATAAATTCTAACTACATACGTCCACTGCTACCCAATACGTACATATAAAGAATTAACCTTTATTTTAATCTATATTAAGATTTTTTTTACGATAATGTAAAAATCAATTATGTAATCCAAATTGATGGTGTATTTTCAATTTAGCGTAATCTTTTCTCTCACACTCGATATTAAAAAAGATCAAATTTTTGATTTGATACCTAAATATTTCATAAAGTCAATAGACTAAACCAAGTCGTAACAATTTTTACTATTAACAATCTATTTTATTTTTTCTATTTATCACTATGGACAGGACTACCCTGTTTTATAGCAAAATATCCCTCCAATTTTTCTCAGCTTGGTACCTGGAAAAGTTTGAGTCATTATTTTGTCGTAAATATATTTTCTACTTACCGTTACCGAATACGTCCATTAGCCTCAACCTAATTTGTTAATAACAAAATAACCAATAGCATTGCGTATTTTCGGAAAATTCTACAGTAATAAAGATAATGTTAAAGAATGATTTTAAGGAATGGTGATCCAGATTATATATAAAATTGTGCTCCAGACCAGATTTTGGCATTTGTTTCTTGTATTTTTTACATTTCCCGTATTTTTTATTCTCATATCAGTTTGTTTTTCCGAGTTGATCAAAAAGTTATGCAGTCTTATTGGCTGTTTTTTATCATACCCAAATCGGGTAAAAGCTTCACACTAATTTTAAATACTATGTAACTAACAAGTTTGAAATCCATCGATTAGATTCTACTGCAAATTCTAATTCCGGGTATATATAAATCTAGAATTACATTGTCTGTAAATAATTTACCGATCTCGACCGATATTCTCTGGTAGGCAATTATAAAGAGAGTGATAGAGCTCGGCTTTCCGCAATTAGATTTTATGACTTAGGATCTACATTTGCTAGCGTATTTTTCAAGTCGCAAAGTGATTTTAGTGATGATGACGGCAGCTCTAGTAGTAATTACAATGACAAAGGTGACGCGGTGATGACAGTGATAAAGGTAATGATGATGTTATTGGTGGTGTCTTATAAGGAAAAATAATTTTTTTTCAAAAAATTAGATATTAGATTTAATTATTATTATCTTCCTATGACCCATTAAAAAACTGAATACATATTAATCTGGGTCGGTTCTTAACAAACTGAAGCAAGAAATGGGCCAGTAAGTCGTTGAAAAAGCTGAATACATATTAATATGGGTCAGCTCTTAGCAAACTGAATGCATATCGATATCAAATATGGGTCAGTAAGCTGTTGAAAAAACTGAATGCATATCAAATATGGGTCAGTTCCTAACGTTATGGTGAGCAAGTCGTGATGGTTTAATTGTTAATTAGATATATATAATTTGAAAAGAATTACTGCTACTTACACTTTAGTTTCTTGATTTATGTTGTTTATAGAATCTTTATATCTATCTTTCGTCTTCATATCCTAAAATTTGCATGAATAGGTAGAATGGTTCATAATCCCATTTTGTGAAAAATTTAAAGTAATTATCTTTGCGAGCGAATTTATTTTGTGTGCAAAGATTTAGAATATAGAAAAAACACGTTTTCAATAAGGATACGCGATGTTGTATTTTTGGGTAATTAATTTATTGATTGTGATACCTTTAGATGTCAGGAATAATCCAGATTTGCGCATAACTTGGATGATCTTCATACCCTTCAATGGAACGATTCAAATAAACTGCAGTTCAGGCTTCAGAGTTCGGTTCTAGTTATGACTTGAAATGAATTGGATAAACTGTTTAACCTTCCTATCTACTAGTATCGCAACGTGTATATTAGGTATGGGTTCAGCTTTCGATATACGTAATGACCACTCGCACAAATCACCTGATTTTCGTATGAGTAACTTTTCTTTAAAATGGTTGACTTTCAGTAGATAATCTCAATCAAGCTTTTTTATATACCGAAACCCCCTTGTTACTCGTTTTTCACTAGTCATTTTTTTTATCAAGGTATGTTTTTAATTGTGGTAATTATTTCTTTTGTTTCATACTATTATGTTATTATGCACCACCACCATTACGTTCCGTTGCCGTTATTATTACTATTATTATGCATTGCCGTCATTATGCACCACCGTTAATATTTCACCATTATGTTCCATTATCTTCACCATTTCTATAAAAGGAGCGTAATAATATTCGATATATTCAACGTATCCAATCAAAATATTCAATATATCAAAACGATGACAACGTATCCGATCAAACTACTCAAAATCTTATTTCAATAATTGACCTATGGCTAAATCAATAGATACTTCGATTTATGTAAGGACTCTATCTCTTCTAAAAATGACAATAAAATCAACTCCACCACAACCCGAATTAGCTCCGGTTTTCTGTTCTTCCTATACAACCAGAATCGGCTCCTGATGTCGCATTATCAGAACAAAATTCTCCATGATCTACTTCATCCTTCAAATCATCCTGTCACGTGCGTTGTTATTTCGGCCACGGAATGAATAATTGCCCAAATTTAAGAGATATCGATATAGCACAAAATGCCTGCTTTAGATGCTCAAATGACGATCAACATGTCGTCGATTGTCCGCATAAAGGATACTGTTACCGAAGTATAACAAATTTCGTTGATCTTGTAATTTCCGAAGGAGCCCGTTCGCCCCGATCTCAATAAATTAT